TTGTCGGAACAGGTTTCGAATAAGGTCGTCAAGAAATCTATGCGATGTGGGTCGGTGTCCATCCCGATTGAATCGGAAGAGGAATTATTTAAGCAAAGAGAATGGAGTGGAATATGGAAATTGGGAATTTCTCAGCGACCATCGAGGATCCTCCGGGCTCGCGATGCTTCGAGATCTGGCTTCATGGTCCCCGGAAGGATCGTACGGGCTCTCCACGCAGCTCTTTCCCGATCAACACAAGGAATCATTAGACCCTAAACGTTCTTGCTCGACGGTGGTTGGCTAGACGGCGACCGCTTCTCGTCGCGAATGGACGAGTCGAGCATTTCGAGGCATTCCCGGATGGAATAATGGACGTGCTAGGTCTTCACCGCAGTAACCGGGCATTTTGGAGAGACTCTGGAGGACAGACGAATTGGTTGTTCCCTAAAAGTTCTTCGATTTCGTTTTTCGACTGAGACTCAGGTAATTCGTGGTGGACAAACTTCGGGAGTATCTCCATTCTTCCAGGGGGGAAATCCTCTTGGTTTTTGCGATTCATATTGGTGAAGCGTGAGTTCTGCGAGGCAGCGATTACCAGAGCCATCCTGGTGATTTAGCTCGATCGAGTTTCCCAAACAAGCGAAGATACGAGCTCAACGCTGGTGGAGCAAATCAAATCGAAAGATATCTACGTGATCTGAGCTCTGCTGGTGGGAACCCTATGGAAGCTCGATGAAAACTCTGATCAGTTGTCCGGGGAGCTTGACACGCAAGACAGCTTTTGGACGCGCAGGTCGTCAAGAGTCGAAGCTCGAAAACTTCGAAGGATGATTTTTGATTTGGACACCCTCCCACGACGATGCCGCGAAATCATCTCCAAGGGCATCTTCGAGACAAAGGAGAGGAAGTGCAAGCGTGTAATTCATCAACTTTTCGTATGATTGTCGTTTCTTTTTCGTTCGAAACAACTTGCTCCCCTCCTCCATGTCAAACAAGTCGAAATAATGTCCCGAACGATCGAATGTGACCCTTGCGGTGATTGTGCGAGGGTGTCCGACGGGAGCGGATCTGCGGCGTGAAAATCGCCGCTGGAGTCTCGGAATCCATTGAAAAGTGAGTTGTTTCGCTGTGGCTTCCCGACTCCATCCCACTGAGGCGTTTGGAAAAGTAACCTTTCTAAATGTAAATGAGATTCTCTCTGTGGCACATTAAGCTCACAAGGAGCGAGATTCCGCGGTATCTAGGTATCTAGGCATTCGAAGACGAACATACGTCCAGGTATCGTCGAACGCTGGGTCGATATTTGACTCGATTGCTCCAACTTCCAACTACTCCCGAACACTTCAGAATTCGTCCTGTATCAGTCAGCCTCCTGATAGTCGACGATGAAACCAGCACTATGCGCCCCCTGCCGTCTAGAATTCCGCGACGGTCCATCTGAGCGAGTCGAATTGAATTTCCCTGGGATAGTCGGAGGTCACGTACCCCTCATGGTAAGTTGCTGCCCCGCCCCCTGCCTTCAATCCCTAGGTCCACAAATGTTTCTCCGCGCGGAAACCATTGTGGCCCGATGATGTTCCGCCTTTCATTCATCCCCAACAGCGCCTCAATTTTCCATCCCTCAATCCTAGGTCATATGATTGCTTGACGTATGTGTATGATCCGTTGGTGATCCGTCCAACAAGGAATGTAGCTATGTATGCTAGAAATGGAAACTAAACGAGACCTGCCTCGAAGAAATCTCATATGAGCCTCGGCAGATCCGTAATGTGTAGAGACTGGATCGACCTCATGTCGCGAGCTCAAATTCATGTAGGTTCTATCCTGAGCGCACCGGTCTTTCAATCTACGGAGAAATCCTGTCATACCGGACTCGGATGGAAGGGACATTCGGCTATAACGGACCGATTGCCTTGCCCTAGCCGAGCCTCCAGTACATTCCATATTAATTGACTCGTTTTCAACGGTCACGATAACAGACACTCGGATACAACGGACTAATCCCCTGGGCTCGGTCCTGACCCGTCCCATGTCGTTCAACTCGCTTATGAGGGACCTATTCTCGCCGGGCGGAAACTCCTTCGAGAGTGATAGAGTGATAAGGGATGAGACCCTCGTGACGATCATCTGCGTGTAATCATTCCGATGGAAGACAAAGTCGTAGGAGCATCCAAGAAGCTCCTCTCATTCATTCGGAGCCACTCGAAGCAGGCGCTCGGATATAACGTAGCGCTTCGGCCGGTCCCTTGGAGTCTGTTCTGACGGGGTTCTACTGTAATTGGTAGCGTTGCTCGCTTATTCATAGATGGCATCCGGTGTAGCGTCGAGCCTTATCCGCGCTGGGATAATCTCCGATATTTTCCTGACCAACTGGCCATGTTCGCGCTCGATGTGAGAAGCAAGCCACGATAAGCGTTCGGGAATTCGATGGCGGTCCAAGAACGTGCGAGCGCTCAACGTTGTGGATTTTGGCCCCGGGCCGGAAATCGGATGCCCCACACAAGCGTTTGATCTACTTCCGATTCTCAGGGAGAAAGTTCCCCCTCCAGGAAAGTCCCTCCCGAGTCCCAGATTTCACCCTGCTGGCTCTGTTCCCCCTGCGGACAGAGCTCGTTCCCATGGAAGCATGGCCGAATGTTTGTTTTCAGTCAGGAGCCATACATACAGAGGTGTGGCGCTCGAACACGGAGATTGGCGGGGCGCGTGAGGGGAAGCACGGCACGCACAGTTTCCCAGCAGCAATATTGCTTCAGCTCGACAAATCCATTCACGTGTCTTCCTCATTCAACAATAGCATGCATCCGCTGTTCGCGCCAGAAGGCCAGTCGGTGTGCGTGCCTGACGCGCCGTTCCTCCGTCAGATTGGTTTCGGTTCGGGGGCCGGAGCTCGTCGCACGTCGTCACTTTGTTTGTTGCTTCTACCTGGAAAGAGGTTCGGCGCGATGCCGTGGCCTGTTTCATCACGTATTCAAGTCTGCCACGGACGCCATCATCGGCATCTTCCAACTCGGGCTTGACGCTCTCATCAGAGCAAGCTTCATAGACTTACATAGAAGAGGCAGGGGACGGCAGCGGTCGAGAGGACGGGGGGGGGGAGGTCGGCATGAGAGAAGAGAGCGGTGTAACGAGGGTAGTGAAAGAGAGCACACTGTCGATGAGGGAAATGAGGGATGAAGATCACACGGGGGCGGAAATCCGAGGGAAATTCCGCGCGTGTCATCACATTCCGTGGTGGGCGCTCTCACGCCACCCGCAGTGCTGTGGGAAGAGCTGGGAAGTAGAGTTGCCTCGTCAAAACCGATGCCATCTGTCACCTTTGGAGCTGAAACGGCTACGCCTAGCACGTGATGTTAGTGGAGAAGTGTTCCCTGGGCGGCCGGCCTCTATGGACGTCATTTCGTCGCATCCTTCTCTGACGGAGTCTGCTCGCGACAGCAGTACAAACCCAGTAGGCGAGCCGAACGGCGGCTACCCGGAACGAAAACATTTATCGCTCGGAAAAAGCTTGCGACGAATTTCCGACTACCACGTTCAGGGCGTTTGACCTCCGTCCCAACACAGTGAGCCATGCGTGTTTACGACACTTTCGGTGAAGCGACGGGTACGACGTTATTGTTTCGGGCGACCCGTCGTCCCACATATGATTGCTGCAAACTACGACTCGGCGCGGAAGATACCCTGTACCATGCGACCGTGACCAAACGTTCAATCCGCTGGATAAAATTCTAAAACTTCACTATATCCTCCTGATACGTGTCCATTTCTTGTCGTTTAATTTTTCAAGCCGGGAAAGTGATTTCCGGCGCCCGGTTCCTCTCGAAATACGTGCTCTCAGCTCCTTGAGCCGGGATATCACGTTCAGGACCAGGAGTTTCGAGAAGAGATAATTCTTCCAACTTCCGGAACAGAATGCTGTTTCTGCACCGGCGAGTCGATCGTGTTACCGTCGCCCAGCTCTACATGCGGTATGTGCGCGAGGGAGCGCCACCCGAATGAGCGTGGTCGATCCGGAATCGCGCTTTCACCGAAACATGTGCTTCCGAGGACTTGAGTTCTCGTCGAGAGGGCAGAGCAAGGCTGGGGCCCGAGGGATGGAGATCGGCAACGAGAGTCTAGTGTCTGTTCCAGGGTTGACAAGCAAATAACTAACGCGACGCTGCTCGAACAGGCAGACAACACATTATGCGTCTGCAGCGAGTCTCGGGCGGACGACGGGCCGCACCGACTTTTTGCGACGACGTCCCCAGGAACCTGGAATCTAGTCGGGGGCGCCCGATGAGATTTTCAAATCAGGGCGAGGATTCCTAATCGAACTGCGGCGCTAAATTTGTACACGTTCGGGAATCACAGGCCAAACTAGAGAAATTTTCGGAAATCCATCGCGGTGGGAAGTGACAATATCGGTTCGAGTGGCAGTCACGGAGTCCCTTCAAGCTCTGGCTAGAAACCCTAAGGAGCTGATAGGGAAATGTTCTCGCGTTGTCTTTTGTTGCCGGCTTCGAGATGATTTCTTCCTTCAATTATATGGATCTCTGATAGGATATTAATCAAGCGCGTGCCTTCTCCGCGACTCCTCCCTGTCGGCTTGTAATCTTCTGATCGAAATGCGACTCCCAACCGGAAGACGAGCGTGAGCTCGCACAGAAAATTGAGAGCTCAGTGGAAATCAGACGCTTGGTCCCTTCGAAGAAAATCACCGAATCACAGGTCCGATTCCATCGAGACGGGGACCCGACATTGCTTCAGAGGCCGAGGGGAATCCCTTCGGTGGCCGAATCCGGAGTAGATCCGCTTGCGAAGGACTCGCATGGTACCTACCGCGTTATCCCCTTCTGGCAGACGAAGTCGATCGTGAACAGTAGGACAAGGTTTTCCTGGGTCTGCATATGAGCTATGCTGGATATCGAGATCCAGACCAGTCGGCGTGGCTCCCGACACTTAGTACCTGTACGGAGAGATTCCGATTTTCGCGCGAACGTCTCCGATGCCGCAGTCAGGAATCATTGGATTTCGGTTGCCAATCCAGAACGGCTGGGGATTTATTTATCGATTCGACGATGGATGGACGACGGATCACTGACTCAATCCTTACCCACGACGCTTTCGCTCAGCGTCATCATACATTTCTCGAAGGCATAGAATCTCTGACCAAGAGCCGCTCTTTTATCCACTTCGGCCGCTCTGTTCTGGGTACGAGGAACAAAAGAAGAGGAAATTAGGAGGGAGATCGAATTGTCGAGAGTCCGCCTACCTCGTTGATTCAGAGTGGAGAACATTCACAATGGATTCGAGACATCGAAACGTCTAGCGGAGAGTTCTCGACGAGACATCGGCCTTCATTGAAAAATAGGATCACACCCGAATCTTCTTCTCTTGTCTTACAACGTACTTTTTCGTCCAAAATTTCCTGACGTTCGTGGGGTTTCGCGAGCCGGAACGCCTCTTGTTCACCAATGGTTATTCTGTGCTTCTTGGTGGCTTCGAGGAGCCTCGTTATATCGCTATCGCTCATATTAATCTGGAATTTGATGTAAAACGAGACAATAGGATCCGAAGCGAGTACATCCACTTCGCTGGGGAGACCTGGCCGACACTCGGAGTCTCTGCGGATAACCTTCGAAAGAGCCGCTGCGCAAACAGATCCATCAAAGGCGGTACCCGGATGCCCGAAAATATCGGATCGATCGAGGATTGAGCTACAGCCATCTTGTCCCCACTCAAATTTTATAAAGTCTGACACTCATTCCGAACCTGTCGCGTGACCGATACCAATATCCCAGAATAGTTTCAAATATCCAGGATGGAAACCCCAAGACCTCGCTTCACTCACGTCCTCACCTCTTTGCCGCAGCTCGTATATTGGCTCTGGATCTCGTCGTTCGTGAACTGTGCGAATAGCAGAACGGCCTGAAGGCCCACGACCACCAGCCATCTGAGATCCGTCATTCGGACACGATGCAACAGCCTCACAGCGGAACGTTCCAGGGTCACTGCCGGGCCCACGTAACCGCCAACCCCGGGAGAAGCGGATTCGATTTCGAGCACATTGTCCTATTTGGACGGGAGGCTCGCCGCTCGATGTTCGCAGAGGCAGTCGATCTGTCGCGATCGGACTCAATGCCGAGGGCACAAAAGTGGCCAGCTAAGGTCGCGGAGCTGAATTGTCCACGGAAGGGCTTTCATTTGAATCCTTACAAGCAGAAAGGCGATCAGATGACAAAGACCAATATACAGAACTCCATTCGAAAGGTGATCTCCCGGAGATCCTTCAATTCCAATGGGAAGGACAAACAGCAATCCGAGCTAAACTAATCGACTCCAGAGGCTGCTCCAGCATTGTCCACACACCATGGCGGTGAGTGACCGGAAACGACGTTTCATCATCGGTCGAGATGACGTCAGCTGGCTGAGTTCCTCGAGCGCGTCTGACGATTCGCAATAAGTGGGTTTGGGCGCCCGTCGCGACGATTTCGGCGGGATTTCGTAACGTTTTTCGGATCCGACACCGAACGAGGCGAAAATTGTCGGCGGCGAGAAAAGCCAATCTTTGACCATTACCCCTATCTTATGTTAGTCTTTCCTCATAATGATGGTCGATAATGCGTGTCCAGGTATGGTCGGTACCTGATTGAGAATCCTAGTCGATACCGTCAAATGATGGCTCAGGAAGACCAGCGAAACCGAAGAATGGGTTCGGAGCACCTGCCGCAAACGGTGAATCTAATCAGATGATGATCGATGACGATTCCACGAAAACGACGTGCTGAGGGAAGAACGGCTGCCCAATCTGCCGAATTCCCTGGCGGCGACCCCGTAGCGATATGATTCCGCGGAAGTTCTCACTCTTGGAACAATGCTCAATTATCGTATGCAATCAATGGCCCAACATATGCGACACGTCGGGGAGGGGGGGGGGATGGCAGGCTCTGTCTTAAAGAAATAATCTTCCCATTCAGTGCGTAGTAAAACTCCAAATGTTTCAGCTCACGCCATTCTAGAAGATAATTCATTCTTCTGAACGGTGACGACGAGCGCAGTCGCGTTGTCAGATGTCACTGGAGTGGGTATCGAAAGTCGAGATATTAATTTTGATTCCGGCGATATTTAGAGAGTTCTTCGAGAAGAGCGTGAGCAGGGGAACTCGGAGAAGGTTCGCTTGTCGATAACCGAGCGTGACAGGAAGAGAACCTCGACGATATTGCGCATGGGAGCTCTGGCGAGCTCCCCGTTTTTCCTGACACCTCGATTGCCCCTCACGATTTCCAGCAATCCTAGAACGAATAGTTCCGATCATGAATGGCGGAACTGACACTTAATAAATGAATCGACGAAGCGGCCGTGGAACACCGATTCTCCGCTGCAGTGAGTCGACGATCCCCAGCGCGTGGGGAGTTAATATATTCGTCAGAAAGGATTGCTCCTCAATGGCTTGATTCTGGTAAAATTGGGACAATCTCGACAATCGGTCTCAGGCGCATCGGAATAGTGATTTTTGACCCATTCGACATGTGACACAGCTGGATTGGGAGCAGGCAAATGATATTCTCCGTTGCGCAGCCGAAATTCTAGGGGGAGTCGGCAGACGTCCTCGTACATTGTCCTCGTTGCCACATTCCATTCAGTGCGAAACTCTGAAGTTGCAGCGGAGTACTCGAAAAGTAGTGACCGTCACTGAGAGAATCCGATCTCCTGATCTATGTATTCGCTCGCTCAGCAATTCTCGGGAGCTTTCCGCTCCGTCGCGCGTCTATCAGAACGCTGCGGACGATCTCGAAACCGGCAAGGAGCATCTTCAAAGGCCCCTGTCCCACGCTAGAGATCACGAAAGGGAAAATTATGGTTTTACACTTCGGAGACCCAAGTCCCTCCTTGGACTCGCATTCTGTCTCCCCGGATCACCTACCGTCCGAGATTCAAATGGGATTATCACGAATACATAGTACACCTAAGGCACCCTTCTCTCCGGTTCGAGGCCAGGTCCGAAACACCGGTCAGCTTAGGCTTCTTCTGCTGGAAGAATGAAACTGACAGTTGAATGATCGAGCCCGCTTATGAAACGAAACTGGATATGAGAGACATCTTCCGGATCCCCGTCCCCATAGGATCCCATGGTGTGGGGGCTGGGTGGCTCTCTTACGAAAGGAATCCTTCTTGACCCTCCATTTCCAGCTTTTCGCTAGGTACCTTATCTCGAGGGAATTGTTTTGCGACACTCTGGCATTTCTCGCACAGTGAGCTCCTGATTCCAAAGTCAAGCGCAATTTCGTCGAGTCGATTCGTCAATAATTTTGTAAATAATTGAGATCTGTGATTCGAATCTCCAGCTGATATCCCTGTTCGGACCGCCACTAGATTCAGCAATCATGCTCTCTCGAGCAACGCCTGAAAAGAAGATCCAGGCGCTGGACGATGCGACTCGTCTCAGAAAACGACTCCTTTTGAATGAAACCAAGCTCCGCGTCAATCTGCATATGCAAGAAGATTAGACTAAAAACATACGTCGCTCGACTGAGTAAATCAACAGGAACATCGCTGGCACGAGTTGTGGGGAACACATCTCGGATATAGGAGAAAACCGGATACAGGGAATTTTCCCGGTTCCCGAGGATTTTCCCATGGGCAGGTCGACTGTATCGTAACACGGAAAGACTGAATGATGACAAGCGGTTCATGGTTTAGCTTCCGAGCCAAGAGGGCCATGATTGAAGAGTAGACGTCAAGTTTCGTATATAGCCGAGGAGAAGAGAAGACAGATGTAATGGATAGGGGATGAAGTAACGACTCGAGGATGAAATGCTCTCATTCGAAAAGAATCGATGGCTCTGAGCTGAAAGTCGAGCGCTGATTGACATCCAGAGCCGTGTTCCTCAGGGAGCTTCAGCGCCGAGCATCGTCGCAGACCTTCTCGTATGCATGGAAAGGAGACCGATTTCAAAATTCGGGGTCCATCGGAAGGGGTTCGGAGGGCTCAGTGAAACCTCAGACGTAAATATATCAGAGAGAGGCTCCGCGAGCCAGCGAAGTGCAAGCGACGTTCACCACGGGTTCATCAGGGCAAGTTTTGGAAACACTCCGCTAATCAGTCGCGTCTTATCTAATCGTGTCTTCGTGAGGATATGGAGCCCCCCCATGTTTTCTTCGGACGGGTCCCTTTCGGTGTTTCACGCACGGACAGAGATGATTCTCCGGAAGATGGTGTCAACGTCCCCCGTCGGCGGCTCTGACAGCATAGCCCGCGAGGACCGTCTGGTTGACATGTGAATCAACAAAAGATGTCGACTGAGCAGAGACGACTGATTCGTCTGACGAGCCCCATCGGATAACGCTCCAGGTTTGCCTATCGGTAGCCGACGTGTCAATACGGATGGTCGATTCGTCAAGAAGCAACGTAGCGTTCCGGTCAGAGAATAGGAATTCTGTCGAGTATCATATTCCCAATCACTTATGAGTGTGTGAGTGTTATCTATCCATTCATATATACATACATCGGAGGGATCAGAGATATCAGGAGTCGAGAATCGCCTCCTCACTTCGGTGGAGATTTCGTCACCGTTCTGGAAACGCCCTGGGAAAATCCTATATTGGAACGGAAAAGCCTCCGAAAAAAAACGAGAGAGATTCGACTGCCAACGAATGTCGGAGACACTCGTTACGAAGGAGTCATTTGTGAACGATGAGGTAATGACTCATTAGTGAGGAGGATTCCTCTTTGAAGCCAACAGAGCCAGGAAATGAGACGTCTGACTTGTTCCTTGTGAGTTTTGTCCTGGAGAATCTGAGCGTATGGGAGTTCCGGCAATGCCCGGGATCTTCGACGAAAGCCTTTCGAGAGAGGTGATTAGGAGATCTCGGAGCGCCAGCGTTCTGACAAAGCCTTCAGCTCGATACGATCGCATGCTTCCACGAACGAGCTACGCGTGCTCGACGTGTTTTATCTCGGATCGTCAGCGCAGTTTGCACGAACACGTGTTCACGGGCAAACAATGCAACCAGCCTAGGGCTATCAAGAGGGTTCCCCGCCTCGGAAAATTTGCATCACAGATCTTATCGACCAATGTTGCGTAGTAAAAGCTTGCTCGAGGTCAACCGACCCGGCTCGCTTGTGAGGTTCGCACATGAGTCCTTCGGTTCCCCAGTCCCGAGTCATAGCCAACGCACGCTTTGATTTGAGTCCGCAGCTGCTCAAAGGTGAGACTGCCGCGGAAGACACGGGTTGGCCGACGAAAGGAAAAACGCTTAACCCCGAGAATGACCTAGGGTTCCCAATAGGGAGGAGCAGGCTCTATAGACAACGCCACCGGTATTCACGAAGATATCTGGAGACGCCACAGGCAGCCAACCCCTCTTCAGAGAATATCCGGGATGAACATTTTTTCCTATGAATAATGCGAATGAGTGAATTCGGCAGCTGGTCGCGACTTCTTTAGGGGAGAGTCCAAGCCGAGCGCGCGAACGAGCTGCCGCCACCACACTCGCAGGCCGTAGGGGAAAGTTCCTCATTTCATTCATTCTCCGACCTCATGATATAGAGATTACGAATGCCCATCGATTTCATGCCGTTAAGGAGAGTTACATTTCGGTCTGCAATCATCCAAATCGAGATGGGTATATCTGATGAGCCGGCGTTTCGATTGGAACTATGACCGAGCTCCGAGCCGCCTGATATCCTAGGGAAAGTTGGGCGTTGTACCTTTATTTTTTTCACTTCCTGGAGAAGGGAGTCCCGAGGAAGAGCGAATACGGGTACTCTACCCTGCAGTGGAAGTTTATCGTTATGGACGCCACAAGCAGAGACAGAGAGCGTCAGGTCAGCAATCGCGATTGTGCGTTCCGCGCCTCGGAAGGAGACGTTTATTACCGATGAGATGGTTGCCGCGTCCGCGTGACCAGCACGTCGGCAGCCAAACGTGCACGACCAGGACGGCGGCTCCCGTCCAGGAGGGGTACTATTTTCGCTCTGCTGGATCACTCCACGGGGTGATGACTGATTGTTGATGTCCGGGACCGCGGAGCTCATCTTTTGAGCTCACTCCAGGGTGAAAGATTGAGAATTTTACGGGAGACAAAGTCATGAAATCTTGTCGCCGGCGCCGTTCGTGCATGATCTGAGCCGACATCCGAGTCGGTAGGCACATTGTGCGGGGAAGACCCCTTCCCGAATTCGGCGCTCTCCATGCTGATGGATCGCCCGCATTCATCATCGAGCCGGAAGTAACCTGTTTGCCGGCTCAAATGCCATCGCTAATTCGGTTCGAATCTCCGCCGCCAGCGCCTCGAGTCGTCGGTGGGTTTTTCCGGGACGGATTTCCTCCTGCACCGGGTGGCCCCGATCCGAATCCATCCGTTGATCAGTCCTTCTGCTCAGCAAACTGCAAAGAGATAGTTTTATACCCACTTGGAGTTGCGCAAGCCTCCGGTGCAATGTGACCTGATAAGCGTCAGCCGAGCTTGAAGCGCGCGCCTTGGGATGACCGAGAGTGGAGAGGACAATACAGGGAGTTGTCATAGAATCGTGATGTTGTCGTAGAGAACACGTCCCAAAAAGCTGAGTACGAATCGTCGGGATCTCCTCCGGAGATATTCCAGGTAATTTCTTCTTTGATTTCGAGGAATTCCGCTCGCTTCTGAGCCGCTACTCGCTGCCTGTGCAGAGGCGCGCAAGTGCCTGGGCGGATTCACTGACCGAGTGTGGTGCCTTTCGACAAGAAGCACATCTCGGCGCGATCTCTCGAGGTGAATCATCCGACAAGATATTCGGAAGATTGGAGCCGATCTCGGGAGAGCCGTTCGCATTGATGACGAAATCTATGAGACAGATTAGGTGAGCGATCGTTCCTCGCGAAAAAGCTGAGAAATATATCTGGCGCTCACGGAGTCGTCCTCCACCTCGCCGAATTAAGGAGAAGCATTAAGGAAGTCATCCTGCGAAATCATATCCCAGAGAGCCGACCACAACCGAAGCTTGAGAGACGAGCGGAAAATTCGATTTCCTCATATTGTGGGGTCTATAAATATTTTTTTCTGACGTCAATGATGACTCGGCGAGAAAGACGCGAGCCCTGAATGGAGCGGAATTAACAGAAGTGTCGCTTCGAACCCCAAAAAGATCTCGACAAACTATCATTCGAAGAGCGACTTATTTTGGCCCTAAGTGCCAAGGATACTCGGAGGAACCTCATGGCGCATCAGTACAGGGAATGTCGTCGAAGACGCTTTCCTGACGCTTGCTCCGTTTTCAGAGAGGACGCCGCATAATGGAGCTCGACTTCCTGTCGACGTTCTTCACGAAATATGTCGGGAGATTCGTGAATTTGCCGCGGCCTCCCCGCTACTTGTAAGATCACTGGGAATATCACTCGAATGCATTTGATCAAGACGTCTACTCGTGATACTGACTGACCTCCATCTTCTCCGCAGCCGCCGGCATTCGATCGCGAGCGCCTTTGCTGGCCTTCCAGACCATCTGCTCTACAGAATTTTCTTGCTTTTAGACAGTGACACTCTGCTGTACATATCGATCATAAACAAGCACTTCTACAATGTAGTTGCGTACATGATTTACTCCCAACAAGCGCAGATAAAGAACATAACGAGACCCATTCGAGTTTACTTAATGATCAATGGACACAAGCTGAGAACACTGGACTTGTCGTACTGCACCCCGAACGAGGTCTGCCTTCGGAAGAGTCTCGAGTCGTGTCCGAATCTCGTTGAACTCAACCTGTTGAACGTCGACATTCCACACCCAGGAGTGATTGATTTCGTCACACAGCTGAAGGTTTTGGAAGAGCTCACTTGTCCCGTCCTGCCGCCAGTTGATAAGTTGCGCGAAGATTCCGATGACGATGATGATGACGACGATGATGATGAATTCGAATATGACTATCGAGTGTTTTCAAGACTCACTCGTCTCAACATCGAGGTGAGGCCCGAGCCTGCTACGTTTCGACCCCTCTTCGAAATCTTCAACAGATGCATAGTGATCCACGCCATACACATGAATGTGATCGGAAGCGAGACTTGCGGAAACAAGGAGCCAGACCCCAATGTGGGGCTGGAGAAGAAACGATGGCGAACCTTGCGGAAGTTCGCGCTGACAGTTAGCATGTCAGACTGTGTTAAATATCATCGTTATTATTTAGATAGGGTTTTCGCGAATAATCAAGACCAACGGATCCTTGATTGGATCTCGGCAGACAGAGAGTGCTACGTGTACGAAAACAAGAAGGTCAACGGTGAAATCACGTACGGTCCTCAAGTCGAAGATACCTGGCTCAGCAAAGTGAATCACATTTTCTTCGAGGACTGGAAGCAGCTCATGCGTTCGCCGCCGCCCCCGGGACATCCGCGGGAAATTCGTCTCAGCCGGAGACAGGCGTCTCACGAAGGCATCCCGCCAAAGCTGTTCGGGGCAATCAGAAGCAGGATTTCGAGTCTTGTCGAGCTGGATGTCATCGATTGCCACGACTTCGTCCCTCAGAATCGACTGCGGGAATTCTTCGAATCGTGCGTGAACTTGGAAGCCTTGGCGATCTCTGTGTGCCTGCTGATTCCTCCGGAGCCGGTTGGGGATTTCCCCGAGACGCTCAGCGGGATCTTCTCGAGGATGAGGCTGAAGCGATTTTACGTTCAAGGATTCCACGTGACCTACAATAGAAGAGCTTCGAAGCGCTTCACGCGGTGTGCCGTATGCAAAAGCAGCGGAAGGAATTTCACGAGGCTGAGCACGCCGTCTTTCGAGAACTTGCAATATCTTGACGAACTGACCTTCTTCCACATCGTGGTGGAAGAAGGCGCCCTCCCATTCCTGGTCAACCCGAAGGCGCACACGATACGGCTAACTCTGAACTCGGAAAGTACGGCTAGGGAGTGGGGCGTTTTTCTGCGAGGATGCACAAACTTGAAATATTTCGCTGTCTCGCATGAGCTCTTCGAAACGACAGGCCGAGGCGCAATTAGCATTTGCGATGCTCTTCATGAAAGCCCGCGACTGAAGGAAGTGTGTCTTGGCGTGGGTCCCACATCTTCTCTTCCGAGGAACGTCGGACAGGCGGCCCCTCACCTCAACCTCCTGCATACGCATACCCTGCAACAAGGAGTCCGGGTGGATACTCCGGACTTTTTCGCCCTGAAATCGCCGCATAGATCGCTGGATTCTGTCTTCGATTTCGACATGGATGCGATCCCCGAAGATCCTGAAAGGGCTGTTTCGACGCGGAGAGCCTACTCCCGCAACATCCGAGGCATCTCGGCACGTAGACTATGTTATTCGGAAAATTTCATTGGACTGCTCACACCCAAAGGATGGGAATAGACTCGGTACAAGAACTTGGTTGAATAAAATCGAAGGTTTTTGCTAGAGCAATCGTGTACTTGATCTGACCTCCGACCGAAGATCCTCCCGCACGAAGACACTTCCGAGCGAGAGGCTAAATTCTGGGCGCTATCGGGGAGTTCGGAACACTCGAGTTCGAAGTGCAAGGCCAGGCCATGGGGAAGCAATCGAAGATCTAGCTCGATAAAAAGGAAGTATTTCTGAGAGTTTGGAAGTCCCTTCTTGCAGTTTCACCTGGGGACTGATATTCAAGATCTGATTCGACCGTCGGAGGGAGTTCCGAGAGAGGAATGGTGATCTTGGAACATCTAGCCTCCGTTCAGTTTAGCTATTCCCAGATCGAGACCCACCGCAGGTCTCCCCGATATGAGCGAGCTTGACGACTCTCGGCGACTCTCTTAGAGAAATCGGACAGCGCGCGGTTGAGACATTCGAGGCGACCCACTCTACGGCAGACTCCGATCGAGTTCCCCCAAAAACCAAATGCCATCTCTTTCGAACCCATCCTCTGTCGACTTCCTCCCGTGAGTAGTTTCACGCATTCTTCTGGAGAGGCGATGCTGGATTGGAATTTCGCCGATGTCTCCACGCCCGACCGGCCCCTCCCTGGATCCGCCACTGGGTCCCGGAGGAACTCAAGCATCTTATCGACGTTGTCGTATCTCCAGAGAAATCTCACGTTGTATCGCTCAGTCTATTCATTTTGATCCTATCACAGGCCGGCCCAATCCGAATAGCACGAAGGCAGCGGGGAGAGAGCGAAGAAATTATCGTGTTTCATCCGGGGGCAGCAGATTGCGATATCGGTCGAGACTAGACTCGATTTTTTTTCCCCGGGCACATCTGTGAACGTTCAGAAAGACATCTTCTTTAGTTTTCCGCCAGATGCTGAGGAATTCGCTCTCTTCTGAACCGGTGCGCGCGTGTGTGTGATGAAGTGTGTCTGAGCGTCGATTGGGAATTCCAGACGTGTGCGTTTCCTTGACAGCCCCTCCACCGGTTCGCGGTCCGCTCAGGAAGATTTGACTCTCCCCAGAACTTTGCCCTTCACCTCGGAGAGTTTCGCGCTGACATTGCCGCCGCAATACGTGCCTTCGATGGGAGATCCCCCGTATACAAAAAAAGGCCCGAGCTTATCGTCCGAAAGTTCATCCGGAGGGACCGTCACGGGAGAATTCCCACCACGCTATGCGAGTGAGATCTCCTAATAGAGATGTCACGATCAGATCGGATGGTCGACGAGATGATACCTACATTTTCGATGATGTATGTGTATATCCCTCCATCCTACGTAACAGTCGATTTTCTCCATGTGACAACGAGGCGCTGTAGCGCGATTCAGGACTTGGGCAGCTGATCTGGCTCTGGGTGAGGTCGGTGTCGGAGCCCCGGAGCTCTCGGTGATCGAGCTCGTCTAATTTGAAAGAAAGGAGAGGAGTGAATCGACAGGGGAAGGCGTTTCTTCGCAACAATAATGGAACGCACCCCTAACGGAGCAATTCAGAATGCCGAAAAGCATGCAAACAGTGAAACGCTGAGCTCAGAGTCTCGATCAATGGATTCGATGATGTTGTTGAAATTTTCATCAGCTTGTGCAGCCTTTGAGCGGAATGTAATCGAAAAAGAAGGAGACACGAGCGGCGAGAATGAGAAGACGGCCCGACCTGCCGAAGCGAAACAAAGCGGCTCAGCGCGTCACAAGAAATCAAATTACTCGAGAAATGGACTCGCAAGACGAGGTTTGTCGAGAGAAAAAGAACGCGTTTGCTCTAAAAATCAGGTGGAGAGTTCATTCGCTCCCGAACGGAGGCGCCGACCGGTCGTTTGCGTTCTCGCAGGTAAACTCGGTCGGTGATTCGAGATGCGCCACCCAAAATGACGTTCCCGATAATTTCATTCCGCAGGCGAAGCTTCGAAGATAAACGATCCAGAGCATCCAATCCAGTCTCCTTCGAGCAACGTGGGCGGCAACATTCTCGGCTCGCCCTCGGACGATGTGAGCTCCAGCCTAGCCAGAACTATAGTCGGAAATTCTCCTCAGCGCCAGCTCGGGGAAGCGCTAAGAGGAGAAGAGGAGAATCCCTCGAGAACTCGCGCGCACCAGAAGTTCGCTTTCGTGAAGTCCAGAGTTCACACGGTATCAATCTCGAGTGAGTCGAAGAGCAAACGATCCGCGCAAAAATCGATTGCGTCCTCGATAGACACCGTGACCCTGACAAGTGACGGTTTGAAACGGAAACTCCTGGCACCCGCTCTGAAGGGACGAAAGTTCGCCCCGATCGACATCGGGCCCGATCCACTGGAAGAGAGGTCTAGCGATCTAAACAATCCGAAATATCATGTGAACGTACCGAAATCCTTGAGTGAATTGGAGAGCTCTGATCCCGAGCCGGCGAATCCTCTAAATACTTCGAGAGGAATCGTCCGAGAGCCCTCGTCGAAAGAAGAGCCCGCGGGGAGAGACGATGTAATCAGGGGGACTGGGGCTCGGGCCTCGACCACATCTTCCGAATGGAAAGCGATCCCCGCGAAATTCATACCAAAGAGAGTCGATCGGAAGAAGTTTCGCTGAAGTGAGTTCCGAGCGTCTAAAAATTCCCCGTCTGCAATCGTTCCCCGAATAACCCCTACCGTGATCGAGAAAACACTCTGGAACTACATTTCCGGAAGATTTCGGCTCGATTTGGACTCCAGAAAGGAATTTTCAAAGCGACGAAGCTCCAGCGGAACGGTTGCAATCATTCCGCTACTCCGAGTGCCAAAGTTTCCGCTCAGAATTCGCCCCATTCCCCCAAACTGAGGACTGCGCACATTTTGTACTGAAGAATTGTCGTGACTTGCTATAAATGCTCATTTGATCAGCAACTTATTGGAGCACAGTGGTTGATGCCACGTCTCCGAGTGTCTCCTCACTAATTTATCATCAGCCATCTGACGCACGCCCGAATCTCGACGTGAGGAGAATTAGACGCCTGGAATCGAACGGTCGATCCAACGTTGAGGAAGAACGAGTGGGAATTCAGAGCCCTTGTGGCTTCCCCACTCACTCCCGAGGTGTCAGTGTGGGGACCGGAGGCGTTCTGTCCCCTCTGGAGGGAGACAAGTTACAAACAGTGACCGGACTAGCAGGGAAACCTGGAGGTATTCAGGCAGCAGAGGACGAGAGCTCTCGGGCTCCTTGAGAACAAGGTGGCGACAATGTGATTCTATTCGAAGTCTCGGGTTCTCGCGATCAATACGGTTGCGATCTCCTTTTCTTTCGACGACGATGCTCGAGATAGACTTATCCTAATAAGGAGCCTCCCGGAGTGGATCGAAGTCAGAAATAGATATATTTGTTTTATCCGTTCATTCCGGTGGTGTTCCGGAAGCGTCGATCGGCATTTGGACTCCACTGACGCCATGGCATAGGAGTATTTCAGAATATCGAGACTTCAACGCCATATTGCTCGAGGCTACCGAGACTCTCGAGTGGACCCGCAGAATTCCCGAATTCGGAACGGAACAACTATTAGAGCTAGGTCATCCTCTTACCTCCATCCTTCATTCGTTTGTGGGCCTAATTATCCCGCACAAAGTACTATCAATGCGTGCAGCGAACAAGGTAATCCAAGCATGCCTGTCGACCAAGCTCATCCTTGTTGACAGCGACGTCAATGACCTCGCTCAGTAGGAAGGGAACGATAGCTGACTTTCAGTTTCTCTGTGCGCGATCATCAGACACTCGTTACGATCTCCCACAGGAAGCACGTGCAGTTGAATTCTGATTCGTGATGGACGAATGGGAAAGTTTCGAGGTGGCGGTCCAGTCACTTTGAAATAATTCAAATCACGTGTCGACTTTGGAATAAACTCAGCTTCGCGTCTTCCAGTCGGAATTATTTTTATCACGCCGCTGCCTGTGGAGGAATTTTCAATCCCCAGCACCGACAAATCAGCATGAGTCCGCGTGCGAGCCCGAAAACGTACGGACGGAGGAGTCTCGAAGAAGGAGCTTTCGGTCGATTCGAAGCGGTCGATAGGGGAACAGGGCTAGAATGTCTCAGATCGAAGCCAGGAGAACATAAGAGCGGATCGTCTCGGCACTTATATCGCAGGACGCGCTTCAGCTAAAGAATACAAGTGACAAAAGAACGGGGAGAATACAATTTCCCCGGACGAAAAAAAGCGCTGGGACCTCCTTGTGGAATAATGCATTCGGAAGGTTCCAAGGGAAAAGAATTCGCTCGGAAAATCCACCGAGCATTATTATTGTTCGATTCGATTCCGGATGCGAACAATCGGTTCCTCGCTCACGCTCGTCGAAATCATGAGATGCTCGCGAACCAATATTCAAACCTCGGAGCGACCGAGCGTCGTTCAGCGGGTCTTGCCCAGAAGAACGAGAAAGCGGAACGAGCTTCTCTGATGAAGTCGACGCAAAGGGGAAGACCGCCTCCGCGGGAGAATCTCTCGAGCATGAACAGAAAAATTTCGACCGACAAAGAGTTGCTCATACACGTCGATTAATTCGGGCTTTTGATACAGACTTCATGAGGGATCCTTTTAGTGGGAACGTGTTCGAACTCCTCATCTCTGAGTACCTGATAGTTACCACAAGACTCAAGCGACGAGCCTCGAGATCAAAAGAACAGGTCTTGCTGCCCTGCGGACGGTTTGACCGAATGACAACGAAGTCGAACGAGGTCCAACATCAACCAGCTGCTCGATGGAATCAATCAACAGCAGCGTCAAATCGGCTGGAAGGAGTTCGAATACCGAGGAAGAGACTCACGCCCCGGCAGAGAAGGGCGTCTTTGATATGTCGAGGGGATCTTTCAGAGCAGGACCGGGAGGACCTGTCCGGCTCGGTGCTCCTCGGCAACGAGAGCCGGAGCGGAAAGTCATGAGTTCAACCGATAAGAACGTGGCCAGAATGAACAGAAAAGAAAGTGGAGCTGGCGAGCCTGAATCTTCGAACACTATTGGGTTTGACTCGA